TGGATATTTCCATCATTCTTCGCATGCCTTGATGCTCTAAATTTCCTTGTTATGATTTACTTCTACTTAATCTTCCACATACGGTGGTTGATTCGGTTTCCCAAATTTCATGTATGTAGCCATAATTCCAAAACTATTTCCCTCCCCTCTTGTGGTTGCTTGAAATCTGCCTTCATTATTGACGTCATCTGCTTACATGTTTCTTGCACGTTCTTCCTTTATAGTTCATTCGTGGCCCTTCGTCTATTTTGCAGTTGAAATATTGTATTTTTGTTATATTTTTCTCTCTCGATTGATTTATTTTTTCATGTTTTTTTGTACAATATTTCATGCACGACGAAAATAAAATATCTGGATCTGAATCAATATTTTAAATCATTTTTTTTGTTTTTAGGTAGCATTTTCACACCTTCTAATTTATGTACAATATTCTGAATGAAGTATACATTAATATTGATGAAATACATCGTTCATTTCTGTTACTCACCTTTATGCAATTTAATTCAGATAATTACAGAAGTGACTAAAAGTGTGATTGATGAGTTTGCACAAGATAATGTGATGTATTTAGAATTGAGGAGCACTCCACGAAATAATCTAGAAACTGGGTTGACCAAAAGAAATTATATAGAAGCTATTTTGACTGGTAAGCAAAATATCATTCTTGTTCTCTGTGGACTAGCAAGATGCCATCCCCGTTGGGGAATCTTATTATCATTGTTTTTGCAAATTTAGTACCTTTTCATGTAAAGTACTTTTTTTGAACCAGCTTCCCTAGGATACTGGCTGAAGCTGTTTAATTTTAAATGAATTGTCTATAGTCCCTTTTTTTATTTGTGCTTCACTTTAATAAGCTAAACATATTTCTAAATAATTAATGATACTTCATTTAGGTATTAATGAATATCAACAAAAAAATAATGAATCCATCATTGTAAAATTTCTGGTTTCAATCGATAGAAGGCGTGGAGTGGTGGAAGCAAAGGAAAATCTAGAATTGGCAAAAGAATATTTCAATAGGCCAAATAATGTTGTTGTAGGTGAGGCTATAGAATATGAATATAAATAATATAATAAGACTAACTAAGCACTCACTAAGCTGTCACCGATATTGAATGAGCTACTACTTTTGAAAGAACCGGAATCTTTCCTTTACGACATTGCTTACCCAATTTATTTCAAGCCGGGTGTAGTTGTAGCAGGCGTTGGATTTGAACCAGTGAGGTATAGCCTGCAATGCTAACAACATTAATAAATCTAAAGCTTGAACCATGCCCATGAATTTCATGACTGATTATACCCATTTAGATAATTAACAGAGGCAATAATGTGTTCGACATATTATTTTGGTTGGTCTAACCATCTCAAAAAATGAATAATCAATTTTTGTTACTAGAAAGACTTCATAAGAAGTGTAAACATATGGATTAGTACTCTTGCAACTTTTCTGAATTTTCCTGTTCAAATTCAAAGAAATATAGCTATAAATATATGTGGGGTGTTTCACATTTGGACTATTGAATCGCATTTTATAATATTTTTACGAATAGTGGAGTCGCAGCCAGAGTCATAATTTCAATTTTCAACTCCAGAGTGGGAAGTTGAAGCCTGAGTAACTACAGACTTGTAATGGTGGTGATGGTAATTGAAATCAAATCAAAGCAGCTGATGGCATCTGCTTATTTTTAAATTGGCGAATTGATAACTGAATTTATTTTTTCGTACTAGTTTTAGTTTTCTATTATATGTAATGAAGCACTATTCCTTCATGTCAGGAGTGTTATCCTAGAAGTACCAATATTTAATATTCTCGCTATGGAAATTCATTTTGCAGGTATTGATCTGAGTGGAGATCCTCATGTTGGTAATGCAGAAGATTATATTCCATTATTGGAGGATGCAAAATCAGCAGGACTGAAATTATCTTTACATATGGCCGAAATTAATGGACTTGATGATGAAAATATAAAACTTTTAGGATTGCCACCTGATCGCATTGGTCATGGTACCTTCTTGTACGAAAATGAAGAATGCAGGAACTTGGTGCTGAAGAGAAGGTTTACTTTACTTGAAATATTATTTATCTAATTTGAAAATTCAATAAAATAGTGATAAGCAAAGTAGTTGAAAGAGTTGGCATCTCAGGTTATAAACCTCTAGTTTAAAACCCCATGCACCTCACCCAGGGGGTAATACATACGTAGATAGGCAATGCGAGATTGGAAAAGTTTCTTTACATATATGTCATTGGTTGACTGTTCAAAATGAAAGCACCTCATAAAAAGACATGTAGTAAAGTCATGATTGTACAAAGATATGTGTTTTATATAAAGCTAAGAATTTCAGTGAGAAGCTTTGATCTTTAACCACACAAATTTGACCAGGTAAAAAATTAACTACTGTTTTATTATGTCAGAGGTGCAGCATAAAATGACACTGCCTAAATTTGTGCTTTGTAATGGCAAAATTAGGCCTCTAATGTTACAGTTCTAAAGCATTTCCACATAAACTACAAAAAATGCCAACCCAATTTGAATATTTAATGAGTGAGAGGCAATTTGGAAACGATAAACTTCTCATTACAATATTACTATGATTAACAAGTTGTTATATTTTCTTGGTGTTTGCCTAAATCGAAGAGATAAGTGATATCATGTTTAATGAAAAACCACAAGGTAAAATATGTGCGAATTATTTTTCCTAAGGGAATGTATATTGAAAGAGGGAGTACAATGCTAGTTAGTGGTCAAAATTAATTGTAGCAATCATTGAAAGTTTAAAAACACTTTACCAGATAACTATTCCCAGCCCTAGGTATAAGTTACAGGCATTCATACATTTACAGGTATTTTCATTATCTGATTTTAGAATACCATTTGAAATTTGTTTGACATCGAATGTAAAGGGTGGGACAGTGGAAAGTTATGCTGAAGATCATCATCATATGCACAAGTGGTTAAAAGACAAACAACCTGTAGTTATATGCACTGATGACAAGGGTGTTTTCAGCACCACACTATCAAATGAATATCTCATTGCAGCTCAAAATGGTGGAATGTCTTCAGAAGATATTTACAATTTATCGTTTGAATCTATCGATCATATATTTTCCAATGACATTACGAAAGACATTTTACGACAAAAGATGAAAAATTGGAAACAAGAAAATATGTATTATTTCATAAATCGATTATTGTTAATCAATCATGAAATCACAAAAACTGGCTGATGGTGTAATTTTTTAACACTAGTTCAATTACCCAAAACAGACTGCTTCAGAATATTTCTAATTGCTGATTTTTGGTATTGATTTCTCGATTAGTATTTATTTTTGCTAATGCCAAACTTTGCTTTAATCATAAATTTGTCATGCAATCAATACAAGTCTATTTTAGCAGGATTTACGGTCTCCCCTAGTATGTGAACCAAGATGACGGGCACCGGAACGTAGTATGTGTACCAGGTTAGGGTTAGGCTATACTTTTATTCCAATTTTCCTTATTTTAGTTTTATTACGAGTTTAGGGACTAGCCAAGTGACTCCCGTAGTATTTGTACCTAAAATTATGGCCTCACCCTAACCTGGTACACATAATACGTTCTAGTGTCCGCCATCTTGATTCACATACTACGGGAGTACCGAATTTACAATTAAAAATATTCAAAAGATATGTTATTAGAAATATATACCTAAGTTTCACTACTTTTGTTCTACCTTTGTAAAGCTCTGTAAATTCTCTGTAAAAAGTATTTGTTTGGAATGATTGCCAACAATACTTTCAATTTTTATTCTGATTAGTCTGAACAATTAATTAAATCATTATTTGTGGAGAATGGGAAAATTGTCAAAATATGATGACGGATCCATTCTTTGGTAGCATTCTTGTTTCGTGATTTAAAATCTTCTTTGTTTTATCCCAATATCTTTGTTTCGATCATTTAAATTTGTCAAATTTCGTTTTACAGGGTATGAGTAAAATGCAAAATGATAATGTCAGTCTTACAGACAATGTCAGTCTTATGAACCTTTGCGAATTTTCATTTGATAACTCTTCTTCACAAACTGCTGTTGAGTACTATGTGGAACAATATAACAACGGAAGTCAAGAAATTAAAAAGAAGTCAATAACTTATGAAGAATTAAAGATTGCATACAACCGACTGAGTCAAATTCTTCAGTCTGTAACTTGCTCGTCAAATTGTGTTATTGGACTATTCGTACAGCCATGTTTAGAGTTGGTTATTGCCATACTTGGAATCATGAAAACCCAATGTATCTTCGCCCCTCTGGATGTGAAGATTTCGACAGATTTTTTCACAAGAATGATAAACAAAGCAGGAATGAAGTATTTGATTGTACATTCGAGACAACAAAAGACAGTGGAAGTAAAATTTGGTAGATTTATCGAAATAAACACAGACTTCATGAAATATGCATCAACAGAAATTTATCTCAAACACTTAATTCTGTTTAAGATAGCAGAAAGCTCGCAAATCAGAGGAATTGATCTTAATATGTCAAATATTTCTTATATTGTTCATACATCTGGAACGACTGGTGTGCCAAAAATAATCACAGTACCTCATAAATGCATTGTTTCAAACATTGTGCATTTAGCAAAATTGTTTCATATCGATAAATCAAGTAAAGTTGCTATGGTTTCACCTCCAACGTTCGACGCAAGTATAGTAGAAATGTTCATTACATTATCGAATTGTGCGACTTTAATAATACCCTCTGAAATGATAAAATCGCAACCTTCTGAGTTATTAAATGTTTTATTCAAAAAAGCGAAGATCACCATTCTTCAGGCAACACCTTCTTTGATGAGAAGATTCCATATTGATGATTTGAGAACTGTTGTGTTTAGTGAAACCGCAAGTTTGAAATATATGACTTTAGGTGGTGAATCTTGTCCATCTTGCAAAAGTTTGAGAGAATGGATAAACCCTGATGCAATAAATATTCAATGTAAATTTTTAATATATATGGTATTACTGAAGTCTCATCATGGGCATCCATACATCAAATCTTAGAAAGTGATATTTTATCAGCTGATGATTCTGCCATTCCAATAGGAATTCCATTATGGAAAACATTTTTTGAAGTAAGAGATGAAACAACAAATACGGTTTTGTGTACAATTTCTTCGCCAGAGACTCCAGATTGCAATCTTTTTGAATCAAATTCCGATAAGTCTTATTCATATCAACAATCTAACCATCAAAGTGGTGCAGATAAAGGTATAACAATTTGCGGGAAGTTGTTTATAGGAGGTAAAGATCGATTTTGTCATATATTGGGTGAAAAAGATCATGAATTCAAAGACACTGGAGATATTGTTAATGCTACTATACAGAATGACAAAACTTTGAAATTGTCTTTTGTTGGAAGATGTGACTCTATGGTGAAGAGAAATGGGAAGAAATTGAACTTGTTGAGCATGTCTAAAACAATATGTCGCATTGTAAACAGCACAGTTTGTCATGTATTGCCAATTTGCGACAACATAAAAGGGGTACAGATAGTTGCTTTCATCTCACCTCTTAAAACTTCAAAAAGTAGTCAGTCAAAAATGATTTTTGATAGTAGTTCTCAAGATATGAAGAGATGGACATATGAATGTTTCCAAAAGTTGACACTGGAACTTGAACCCTTCCTCATGCCAGACAAAATTATTGCAATTGATATGGTTCCAATAACGTTGCATGGAAAAATTGACGAAAATGAATTGAAAAGATTATATATTGCAAAACAACATGAAAAAGTCACAACCATTACAAAGGAAATTATAAATGAAGCAGTTATTTCAATATTGCCGATAGTCCTTCGCAAAGATATGACCAAAATTGACAATATTCAGAAGTATTCTGAAAAAAGTTTTGTGCAACTGGGTGGGGATTCTTTTGCTGAAGTTTTGTTTCTCAACTGCCTGGAAACATTTCTTGAAGCTCCTATTTTTAAAGTTGAACCTAATATTATGTCTATACTACACAATCACATAATAAAAGAATTTGTTGAATTATTAGCAAAAAAATTCAGAATATATAAAGAGGATTCTTGCTTGGAATCACAATCTAAAAAACGGAAAACAACATTGACAGACACAAACAATCCTGCAATAAATCACCTCAATAGTTCAGAAATGGAGGTTGTTGCTATCGGTAGAGGACGAAGATTATACCATGTTGCTAAAAACAAGAATAGTGTTTCAACATTGAATACACTTCCTGCACAACATAATGTTCTTCACAAAATGAAATTGGTTTGGAAATATGATACAGGAAAATGCATTGATGCTTCACCATTAATTTCTTTCTACAAATATCAGGATGGAATATGTTATATAGGTGTGATATTAACTAACTTGCTGTTTTCTGTTATTGGAGGCTTGAATTTATTCCTTGTTAGCAAGGATGTTAAAAATGAACAATCTGCTCCTCTAAATACATGCTGAAGTAATATTTGAATGGGTGATTTTGCGAAAGCTCATGTAAATCCATGAAATTTAGTAATGTAGAATAGTTATTAAAACTGATTTGAAAAATATCATAAATCAAACAATGTCTGTTTTTTGTCTGATCATCAGATGTCAAATGTTAATAAAAATTAATCTTCAAATATAAATATTTTAAATCCTTTCTCAAATACTGTATATTTACTATATCAACTGTAACTTTTTTACAATGCATTGGGGTATTTTATTCGTTTTGAGCATTCCTACCTATTTTGTTGCGTAATTGGGTAAGTTATTTGATGTTAAGAAAATTCTAATTTGTATTGTTTATTAATCATCTCACACGTTATTGTTATATTTATGTTCAGGATCTCACAGCCATTTATTTTCTGCTGTTTCTTTGAGAACTGGCAGCAGCGTATGGAATCATGAATTACCTGACAGAATAGAATCATCTGCTTGTCTAGTACCAGTCAACAATGAAGGAGTCGTCTGTGTTGGTTGTAATGATGGTTGCATTTATTTCTTTGAAGCTTTATGTGGTGAAGTAAGTTAATTGCTGGGATTATAGTGAATAAATATTTTCTATTTCTTTTGTTGGATCAGTGTTGAAAATATTGATTTTAGTCTGTTGAGTTTTGCTCAAAAATATAGTATTTTTCCTTTATATCCAAATATAAGCTTTACATTTAAATTATAGTACAATTGTTCTTCAATAATAACTCGCATAGAAATATACCCTACGCAATAATATGACGGAGTTTGACCAATCCAACACTGACTAACCAATTGACATGAGAAGTAATAGACAAGCAATCACACCCACACATATACCGTAATATTCAATGGTTTTGTAATAAAGAAGTTACGTTACATGTTCTAAAAGGGTATTTAGGAATTCAGTATAACAGATGATACAATGCTTCATACTTTTCATTAATTACATGCATATGACAAATTGGTATTAATCTGTGGTTTTTTTTTTATTAATGCAGATTTCATGGAAATTTCAAACTGGATCTCATGTTAAATCATCTCCTTGTTGGTTGGAAGGAACATCATTTGTTTATGTTGGGTCGCATGATGGATTTTTATATTCATTAGATATTGAAGTATGTCTTTATATTTTTTTCGGTGTCTTAGTTCATTTTTGATGTTATTCTGTTAGATATTCATAAAGCATAGGATTTTATATTCGGCTGGCAGGGGAAAAAATTGACACAATTTAATAATTTGGCTAACCACAAGGTTTGGCCTCCTGGACAATAATCTGGATCTGGGCCTGATCCGGGAATAATCAGGCCAGTTATATTTTACTTAAAATAATAATAATTTTATAATAAAATATTTTTATCACAGTAAATTGTGTTCCAGATAGGTTTTCCATTTGGTAACTGAATAGACTTCGGATATTTTGACTGTCTATGGATGAATTTAATTACAAGTTTTAAAATCAAAATCTTTCAAATGAGAAAATAACACAGACTTGTAAGATTAATTTTCATGTTTTGATATATCAAACAGACAAGAAAATGTCAATGGAAAATTAATTGTGATGGAGGTTCTGTGTTTTCTTCTCCTGTTACATACCAGGCACCCAAACAGGTGAATCAATTTAATTTTTTGTGTGTTTTATTTCTAAGCCACTGGCATCTTATCCCGGGGATACTTCTGTACAAAAATAGTTTTAATCTGAAAACCTTGGCCTTACAACCATTTTTGAATTACTTAAATAAATGTCATCAAATTATCTTTCTTAATTTCATTGCGAAAATTCATTGCACAATTTTACTGAGAACGATAATAAATAATAAAAATAAAATATTCGCTTTAAAAAGTTGTTTTCAGAGACAAAAAATCTGTTCTATTCAGTGGTCATTTCTTAGTCAATGTCTTCTTATGATGATGCTTAACAGGTTTCGACTCTAGGATCCAGGTTGTGATTATTTACATTTTACTGCAGGCTGAATTTAAAAGTCCTCTTGTACATATTAGCAGTCCTGAACTGCTGTTATACTTGTCGCACAACTGTGTCTCAAGACAGTGAGGTCTTGAACATGTATCCCGTCTCTGCTATACTGTTTAATTATTATGCAGATACTGTTAACTTTTTGAGGCAAATAATCACACATACATACATATTTGTGTTTTCAGTCACTTGCTCTGGTCATCATTGCAACACTTGGAGGCAAAGTTTTGTCTCTCTCAGCTGTAGATGGGAAGTTAATTTGGAAATATAATGTTGGGAAACCTGTATTTTCATCACCTTCTGTGAATGAGTATGGAGTCTGTGTTGGATGTGTTGACTGCATTGTTTATTTCTTTGATATAATCACAGGAGAAAAGGTATGCTGGATTTGAAAGTATCACTAGTTTTGCAATTTTATTTTTATGCCCCTGATATCTTGAAATATTTAGCTCAACTGAATATTAGAGCTCTTCAGATTATCACTGTATTATATGAATAATTTATTAACTGGGTGTTAAGATATAAAATGATACATGTTTTCCGGAAAAAAATAATATGATATCCCAACGCATTGGAGTTGGCGCCATCTGGCTTTATTACTTAAGTACTGATATTCCAAGTGCTTTTACATCAAAACTGACTAGGTGCAGAAATTTTATGATGTTTGTGGAAAAGTTTGAAAATGTTTTTGCCGCAGACAGCAAGATTATTGAAACAGAATTGACTGTAAACGAGTTGATATACCGGTACCTCAAATACTATGTATTTTTGTTCATATTCGATAACATGTTATCGCAAAATCGACGTTGTTCTTGATGATAAACGCTCCCTGACATATCCAGTCTTTTCTGGAGTCCCTCGGGGCTCAATTATTGGACCTACATCGTTCCTAATATTCATTGAAGATCTTCAAGATAACCATATTTGCAATTGTTCATTTATGCAAAGGCAACATCTAGGATAGGTGATCATGTGAACGTATTGAACCTCCTAGCAAGACCGAATGCAAAAATAAATATCGAATATGTTCGGCGTCCGACCGGCAAATTCTTTCCCGTGAACGAAATGTTGAGTCGATGTGTTTATTATACAGAAAGTATTATGTACTGTGTTTTTCAGAGATTTCCCAACTTTGTTTTTCAAACAGAGTGACTGTGTTGCTGATTATATTGACATGAATGAACTGAACTGCTTTAAGTTTCACGTCAATTACTGACGCGTACATCATAATGATATAGTCTCAGTAGCTCATGGATTTTAGTTGTCGCCCTTAACTTCGCTCAGAGAGCAATCTGATATATATCTGAGTTGGTGTCTGGCCATGCTTTGAGCAATTCTCTTAAGAGAATATATGTCGTTATAAATTTGGAATTTACTCTTTTACAGTTATGGTCCTTTCAAACTGAATGTCCAATATTTTCATCCCCATGTTTTTCGGAAGACGGGCGATCGATAGCTGTTGGCTCACATGACGGTTATTTGTATAATATCAACTCAAATGATGGATCTCTTGTTTGGTCAACAAGATCTTCTGACAAATCACCAGTGTATTCAACACCATTCGTTGTATACTT